AATCCCATTCTTTGAACTCATCTATGATCACGTCCCTGCTGATCACAATCTTCTTGTTCTCTGGATCGAACAACTTGTAGCCTCCTGTCGAATGATATCCAACTAGGATCATTTGACTTGACTTGTCATCAAGTTTCTTTCTCAACTGATCTGGTACATGTCTATGTGCAATAGATCCAAATACTTTCAGATGACTTAAGCTAGGCTTCACACCAGACCAACATTCTTCTGGAGTAATTCCTTCTAGCTTCTTTGTAGGACTTCTATTCAAAATGTATGTTGCAGTCGAAACAGCTTAACCCCAGAACTCTTTGGGTAAATTCTTGCCTTTCAACATACTTCTCACCATGTTCATGATGGTTCGATTTTTTATTTCTGCAATTCCATTTTGCTGTGGAGTATAGGGTGGCACCACCTCATGCACAATCCCTTCCTTTTCACATAATCTGTCGAAGTCTTTCGACACATATTCTCTTCCATCATCAGTTCTCAAAACTTTGAGCTTTCGACCACTTTGTCTTTCGACCATGGACTTGAACTTGGTAAATACTTCGATCACTTCACTTTTCTGCTTGATCAGGTAAGTCCATAGCTTTCGACTGAAATCATCTATGAATGTAACAAAGTATTTGTTACCTCCCATCGAATCCACCTGAATTGGTCCACATACATCAGAGTATATGACTTCGAGATTAGCCTTCGATCTGCTTCCTGCATCCTTGCTGAAGCTATTCTTGTGTTGCTTCGCCTGCACACATTCTTCACATACTTCATTTGGAATGTCAATTTCAGGCAATCCTGAAACCATATTTCTTCTCTTCAAATCTCTGATGTCTCTGAAGTTGAGATGACCAAGTCTATAATGCCATATCCATTCATCTCTGCTAGCTGCAGTCGAAAGGCACTTGTGTTCCATCACGTTTAGTTCAATCTTGAAGGTCCGATTCTGAGACATAGGAACCTTCAAGATTACTCTCCCATTTGCATCAACGACACTCATCAACTTATCTTCGATTGACACTTTATAATTCTTTTCGACCAACGGCCCTATACTGAGCAAATTTCTCTTCATGCCTGGTATGTACAATACATTCGAAATTACTGACTTATTGCCATCTTTCCTCATGATCATAACATCACCAATACCTTCAGCTGCTAGTGTGTTGTCATTTGCAAATTTTACCATATTCTTCGTTGCGGGTTTTATATTGACGAACCAGTCTTTCCTTCCAGACATATGTGATGAACATCCTAAATCTAAGTACCATTGGTCCTTGAATCTGTCTTCATCTCTTGTTGCGACCATCAGCATCATCTCTTCTTCTTCTTCTTCATGTTTTGCAAGCCTTGCATCAGTTTCTTGATTCTTTCGTTTTTCTGGACAATCACTCGAATAGTGACCATACTTCTGACAATTGTAACATTGAATGTGACTTTTATCAGGTTTTCGACCACCACCTCTTCCTCTGTTTGCAGCACCACCTCTTTGGTTGCCTTGGTGTGGTCTTCTTTGATTCGATACGTCTCCTTCGATTTGGTTTCCTCTACCATTCGATTTGTTGTAGCCACCTCTACTTCTGTCGAAATACTTTCCTTTGCCTTTGGTCTCTTTTGCTGCATATGCCTGCAAGGCCACATCACTCTTCGATTTTCCTGCAGCTCTTTCGTTCATTCTTTGTTCATGAGATTCGAGCGTCCCTTGAAGCTCTTCTTTTGTCAATTTCGACAAGTCTTTCCCCTCTTCGATCGCCACCACTATGTGGTCGAACTTAGGAGCTAAAGATCTCAAGATCTTCGAAACAACAACTCTTGTTGTTAATGTTTCTCCACATGTCTTGATTTGATTCACTAGTTTTGTAACTCTAGTGAAGAAATCAGATATGTTTTCACTGTCTTCCATCTGAAGCAGTTCATAGGTTCTTTTGTGAGTTTGTAACCTCACTTCTTTCACCTTCTCAGTGCCTCCAAAAGATTTCTCCAGGATCTCCCAAGCTTCTTTTGCAGATTCTGAATCACTAATCTTTTCGAAATTGTCTGGGCTGACACATTGATGAATTATAAACAATGCTTTATAACTCTGTTTCTCAGATTCTGTATATTTCTTCTTTTCTTCTTCTGAAGCGTTTTCGCCAAGCGCTTCGATTCCATCTTTTACAAGGTCCCAAAGGCCTTGACACCTTAATAGGACTTTCATCTGCTTGCACCAATTCTCATAGTTGTCAACTTTCAGAATTGGCAGCGTTGCTGGATAGTTTGCATTCCCATAACTTGTCATCGTGAATTCTTCAATCGTTCTTGATTGATACTTCCCTTGAATCGTAACACAAGCTCTTGATACCAGATGTTGGAAATCCACCAATACTCAATGATGAATTTCGACCACCACTTGATGATTAGTTATGAGACAAACAAAGAAAAGACAATAGAGATATTTCTGCAGAGTTTCTCTCTGCCCACAAATTGTGGAAACTTTATTAATTCACTTTGCAACTGCAAAATACTGTGAATGACTTGATTACAAAATAGGGGTTACTCCCTCTATTTATAGATTTAGGTTAGCTTGCTCCCTAAGCTAAACCCAAGCCCAAAATATCTCTTTACTAAATCAAATCTAATCTAGATTTAAATTCAAATCTATTTAAATCTAAACAAATCAAACCTTCTTTTGACACATATGAATTACAATTTAACATGTTTGACAACTTGGATTGTAGAGGGGTATGTTATGATATGATCAAAGTTAAGTAATCCAATCCCAAGACCAAGTTAATTAGGGTTTGTTTGTTACTTAGTATACAAGTTCGTTGTATATAAATAAACATATTACAAATTAGTTTTTATTAATTCAATAATATTAATTTTTATTTCCTTATTCTCCTTTTCTCTACTCACTTAAAGTGTCTCACGTACTAATAATATATAGATCTGAAAAAAGAGAGGCAAAAAGACGGATTCTAAAAAAAATTGAAAAAGAAAAAATTAGATAGGTAGCCAAACATTGTCTATTGCCTCCGATCTGAAAAAATTAGTAACAAAAATTAATGAAATATTTTTTTAAATATGAAAAAATAGATATACAAAAAGGAATAAGATATTCATACCATAATCACTATTAAATCGTAAAAAGAGGGATTTGTGAATATGCAAAAAAGAGTCTTAAAAAGAAGGATCCTTAAAAAAAATTAAATTGATAGATTTGAAGAAAAAGTAGATCGGGAGACTAACACTGTCTATTGTTTTAGATCTGCAAATATCAGAAACAAAAAATTAATAAAATTATATTTTAAATTTGAAAAATAAAAATACAAAAAGAAAAAAACTTATCAAAGAAATACATATTAGAGTCAATATTAAATCACAAAAAATCACAAAAAGAGAGATTAGTAAATTTGCAAAAAAAAAGTCGCAAAAAGAGAAATCTTTAAAAATTTTAAATAGATAAATTCGAAGGAAAATAAATAAATATATATATATATATATATATATATATATATATATATATATATATATATATATATATATATATATATATATATATATATATATATATATATATATATATATATATATATAAAAGAAGAAACATATGAAAGAAAGACATACATACTAGAATAAGTATTCATCTTGTTTGCTCATCATTTATTCTATGTTTTTAGGGAGGAATATAAATAAGATGAGATATTTAATAAGGAGATGAGAGAAGAGAAAACGTGCAAACGAGAGAAAAATAAGGAGAGAGAAAAACTATTGCAAGATTATAAATTATATAGATTTTGATATCATAGAAATTTATTGAAATCAGAATACAATTTAAAATTATTGGGAAGAACAAAATATTAATAGAAATGCATATAACAATGAAAAATCATAAATTTTTTTTTATAAATTAATAAAAATATGTTGATATTATGGAAGAATTTAATTTAAAACTATTGTGAAGATCAATAGACATTACTCCGTCAATCATTAAGCAACAAGGGTAATTTAAAAATGTCAATTAAAATTTTGAATAATTATAACACAAATTATTAGGATTTATAATATGTAGATTATGTTTTATAATATATGGATTAGGCATTACCAATAAAACTATTATTTTTTAGATTGAACTTTTTGTAGGATTTTTTTTTATATTTGTATAAATTAAACATAAATTATAGTTGTTAATTATTATTAAATTTTAAATAATTTTTCTCTTAAGACCACATGTTTGAATCATGATATATGCAAATTGTTTATAAATAAATTTAAATAAATTTATCGTCAAATAAAAAATATAAAAATACCTTTTCTAAAATAACAATTTGAAACATAAAGAAAATGATTGTACATAAAAGAAATAAAAGTAATTTTTAAAAAAAAAATCTATTTAAATTATTTATTACAAATAAAAACAAATAAAACTCAACACATACATTAAAAAACAAATTAATTACTCTTTTAACTGTATTAGTTTTTTTTATATTTAATTATAATTTTTTTATAAATAGAGTTAAAGAAAATAATAAAATTTATCAATTCATTATTTAAATATAAACTTGTATTTGACTATTAAATAATACATCTCAATATATAAATAAAATAATTAAATGTGCGTGTGGTTTAATAATGAAAATTTGGATTTTAAAAGTACGTTGTTCTCAAAATCTTTCAAGATCCCAAGTTCAAAATCTAAACTTTTAAATGATAAATCTATGGTTAAAAATGTATATGAGTACAAAAATTTCACCTTTACTGGTATAAAGCAATGGCACCCACCACTTGCATCAAAAGATAAAAGGCGTAGATATATTTTCCATTTAAAAGAAAAATCAGGCCCCACATTTATTTTTATACCATATTTTCTATTTGTCTTAAAACCGATGTTATAATTCCCCTCTCTATAAATACACGCTTTTTATTTCCTTTTCAATTCATTCCCCAAAACACAACAAAAACCAGTGTTACAATTTTCAACAACCTTTCGCCTTCCTCTCCGCCACCGCGTGTTGAATCTTTGCATGGAAGTGTCCTGTCTGTCATATGAGTTATCTGAACTCTGTCTCGGTAAGCCGCCGCTGAAGTCGATTTCGACATCGGCTACTGTCGCCGAGGTAATTGAAGTCCTGAGAAGCTCCGGCGAGAGTTTCGTCAGTGTTTGGAACGCTGAGTTCTCTGAATGTGTGGGGAAGGTTTGTATGGTGGATTTGATTTGTTACCTTTGTGAAGAGGAGAGTCTTTTGTGTCCTGATTCTGCTCTTAAGGCTTCGGTTTTGAATGTTTTGAATCAGGTGGATGGGCTTGTTGTGCATCTAGAACCTTCTTCCAGGTACTTTTCCCTTTCTTCTTCATTTTTTATATTTTTCTCTCTCTTTCCTCTTATAATAATAATAATAATAATAATAATAATAATAATAATAATAATAATAATAATAATAATATTGAGATAATAATGCTATTATTGAGTTTTTTTTGGATCTAGATTCAGTTATGTGTGATGCTGGCCTACTCTTTAGGAATAGAGAGATAATTGTTAGAAATTTCTAGATGAAACTTGAAAATGTCTATGAACTAATTAACTAATTATTTATGTCTAATTTCTTGTTTAAGCTTCAAAATTATGTTTTAGGCTATGTTTGAATATCATATACTAAAGAGAGCGAAATGTAGCGTAGCATACTGAAATACAGGGGAACGGAGCGGAATAAAATGTTTCGTTTCATAGTTTGGAAATGGAAATTAAGGCGGAATAAAATAAATTTTTTAATCCACCCAAATCATAGTGAAAGAAATATGGTAGTAAGTGGAATGTAGGGGATGGAACATAGCGGAATGGAAATTTCATTTTGCTCAGTACCTTAAGGTGTGTTTTTAAGATGGCAAAGGTTAAGAATTTTAGTGAATTAATAATCTTGTTATTTTGATGTTTCAGCGTATTGGAGGCAATTGATCTGATACTTGAGGGAGCACAAAATCTTGTGGTGCCAATTGTGCAAACAAGAAGAGGTGGCATTTCAAGGAGAAAACAGCATCAGAAGTCATCAACAATCAGCGGCATCAACGGGGTTGAGTTCTGTTGGTTAACACAAGAGGATGTAATCAGGTTCTTGCTTGGTTCCATTGGCCTCTTCGCTCCGCTCTCTGCACAATCCATTTCTGATCTTGATATCATCAGCTCTGACGTGGTTGCCATTGATTACTATTCCCATGCGTCTTCCGTTGTTGAAGCCATCACAAAGTCCCTTGCACAACAAACTTCTGTTGCTGTTGTAGACAGTGATGGAACATTCATCGGCGAGATATCGCCCTTCACGCTTGCTTGCTGTGATGAGTCAGTTGCGGCCGCTGTCACAACTTTGTCTGCAGGGGACTTGATGTCCTACATTGACTATGGCGGCCCGCCAGAGGGTCTGGTTAGCGTTGTGAAGGCGAGGTTGAAGGAGAAGAATTTGGAGAAACTGCTACAGAAGTTTACAACTTTGACTTCTCTCACAGGTGATTTGTCGGCCTCGTCCTCGTCTGATGAGGAGAGTCCGGCGAGGAGTTTGAATAGGCCGGGAAGGTACGCAAGGTCGTCAAGTTACTCGGCGAGATTTGTGAGGAAGGCAGAGGCTATAGTGTGTCATCCAAAAAGCTCTTTGATTGCTGTGATGATTCAAGCAATTGCTCATAGAGTGAACTACTTGTGGGTTATTGATGATGATTGCAGCTTAATTGGCATTGTTACTTTTTCTAATATCTTGAAGGTGTTCAGAGAACATACAGAAATGATTTAGATGTTTGGAACAAATTTGACTATGTTTTTGCTTTGAATGTTCATAGGGAAGCATGAACTTTGTCCTATCTTTGTTTTGCTTTATTTGACTGTGTGAATCAATTTTAATAAGTTTCCCTTTGAGTAAATCTTTGTCAAGAATTAATGTTTTTTGTTTTCATATGTTTTATTTTCCTTACATTTGACTGAGTGATTCTGATTTCTGATTCAAAATTTTACGGCTATTGATAGGAAGATTCATTGGTTTTAACTTATAAGTGTCACAATGAAGAAAGCTGCTTTATTCTTTTTGTTGCTATGATAGCAACTAATTAAGCAAGTTGTACGAGTTGTTTGGCTTTTTTTTTCTGATTGAACTTATTAAGAAAATTGAGACAGACTATACCACCTTTGTAGTATTGTTTAAAATAATGTTAAACTTTGAATGAGGTGGTCCTAATCTATGAGCATTTTCAAGTTTTCAAAATTAATTATGTAAGTTGTTTTACATTTTTTTTTGTTTAGAAAAAAATTTTATGGCACGATTTATAAAAAGACGGATTTTTTATTGAAATGAAAATACACTTTTCTAAAAATAAAAAAATTAAAGTTTTATTTGTTTTGACAGAGAAATATTTTTAAAGAAAAAGGTTACTTCTATTTTTTTCGATGACAATTTAACTCATCAAAAAATGTAAATAATTTTGTATTGTTATTTTTTTTTTAAAGAAAATCCAAAAATTATTTTTTGAATCAAAAGAAGATTGAATTAATTAAAAAAAAAAAGAAGAGAATAAGACAATCAATCGCTTAATTATGTGTGTCTTAAGTTTCCGATTATACCAATTTGTATATATAATCATATTTATTATACTATCGATTATTGTTGTCTTATCTATAGCAATTTCGTGACAAATATCATTATTGTATTTCCACACACTATAAATAGTTTCTGTAGCAACTAGTTTCAGGATGGATGCTCTCCACCCCTTTTCATTGGTACTCTAACTCAACCGATCTAATTTCATGAGGTGTTGTCGACGAGTCGGGTTGTTTAGAAATGCAGTCTCAATCGAGGAATAAATTTCGCCCAAAATTAAATATTGACGAGAGACCGATAATGAATAAATATTCCAAGGAAAAGATGAAAAATACTTTGAAAAAAGAGTTAAAGAATATTTGAAATTGTCGGGAGAAAAACAGATGAAAATCGGCGATGTGTCTCGATCGAATGAGAAATAATTAGTGTCGATTCGTTAATCAATTTAGAATATCAATCGAAACGAATTGTAATAGTGGCACAAGCTTAAATTGTTGAAAATCTATAAAATTATTCCTTATTAATAATATTAAAAATAATAAATTATATAAAAATAAATGGTAGAGGATACGGTGAAAAAATAAACAATGCAAAGAGATTTATAATGAAACAAATTTTGGAGCCTTATATGTCTAGGAGGCTCATTCTTATGAGTAACTTTTTTGACTTTCAAGTATATGCCACTCAGTCAAGTTTTGAACTTTTGATGGCCTATACAAACTGATGCCTATAATAATTTATGGGGGTATAAAAAAAATTCTATAGGTTAAGAAATAGTACATATTTTGATTTAAAAAATTACAAAGTTTTACAAATACGTACTTATAATAATAAAACAAAATTAAAATTAATTCATTAATTCATTAATAAATATAACCTTTAAATACGAGTCGTGAGAAAGTGTACAACTAGACAAAAATACATTGACGTTAAGTAATAATATAAATAAAAGAATAGTGGTCTATTTCCTTTTTAATATCATGAAAGGTATTGAACAAAAATGTTTGAAGGATGGGACGAAGGGATATACGTGTAGTTTTTCGTCCTTTCCACGTTACTTTTTCATTAGTTCAATTGTTTTTCTTTCGGTTCGCATGTCCCTTATGCGGATGTGTCATCTTAAACAGTCTTTATTTATAGTGCGCGAATATATATGGAGCGTCTACGGGACTAATGAACGTTGTATAAGGGGTTATGAGAATTTGATCTCACCTTCAAGGTTTTAGATAGGAGTGACAAATGGGCATGCTCGTCTCGTTTAGATCTGTCCTACAAAAGTCTGTAAAAAACAGGACGACGCAAGTGTAGTTGAGGATGAAGACTTAAAACCTAGGCCTGTCTCGCAAAAAAATGAGTGTGGGGCGGAAAAAACTCGCAGGTATTGTACCTTTAAGTTAAAAAATGCAAAATTTTATCTTAATGTTCGTGCCTTTAAAAACCCGCAAAAAAAAAGGGGTGGAACGGACTGTCACATTAGAGGTGAAAGTCTAAATTCTTGAGCCGCCCCACACTAAAGTCAAGTAAAATGGGCATGGTCAATGGGCCGGACCCGTTGTGTCACCCATAGTTTTAGGGAATCAATCACCCATACAGAGAGTGGTTGCTAAATTATAGGAAGATTCAATTTCAGATCCTTGGGACTATAAATACATTAGTATCATAATATTGAAGGGTCAATCAATAACAGAGAGAAATGCACATATAAAATAGTTTTGCATCTCACGTGAGCAAGCTCTTAACATCCTAACAATCTTAATGTCTCTCACAATCCTTATCTGCATTTGTATTTTTAGCGAGCATAATTGACACCAAGGCGGGGCCTCAGTAAAATTGACTTGGACCATTCAACTGATATGTGTTACCATTCAACTGATATGTGTGTGTGTGTGTGTGTGTGTGTGTGTGTGTGTGTGCGTGTGTGTGTGTGTGTGTGTGTGTGTGTGTGTGTGTGTGTGTGCGCGCGTGCGTGCGTGCGTGCGTGCGTGCGTGCGTGCGTGCGTGCGTGTGTGTGTAAAAATATTAAGACTATCTCTGAAGTCATTAAAGAATTGCAATAAAAGGATCTTTGTAAAAATGTCAGTTATTTGGTAACATGAAGAACATGTACTTGACCATGAGCAACTTTTGTACGCACAAAGTGAATATTCATCTGAATATGTTTAGTGTTGTGGTGTTTTATACGATTACGTAATAAGCATACAATAGTAAAACTTTCACAACAGATCAAAATAGCTTTCGTGACAAAACACTGAAGTTCTAAGAGTAAATTTCTAAGTCAACAAAATTAAAAAATAATGTTAAAAATACCACAACAATCCGCTTCAGTGCTAGAATGAGATATGGTTGGTTGTGGTTTTACAAACAAAGAAAGAAAATTGTCTCTAAGATAAACACAATAATTGGATCTGACCCTTCTAGTTTTCAGACATCCTCCTCAATCAACATCACTAAATATGGTGATTTTATCAATTGAGGAGGGAGAGAGATGCAAACCTTGAGTAATTGTATCCATTAATGTAAAAAATAGTTTTTTTTCAAGGCAATTATGTGTTTCATTTTTGGATCATGCATAAAAAGACATACTTGATGAATGACATCAGAAATATTATGTCTTGTAAAATTTAGATATTGCAATATTCTAACAAGACTTCGATATTCATAGGAATCATGGTATGAGTTTCTTGATGTTCCACTAAATTTTGCTTTTGTATCCAATGGCATAGAAGTCGGTTTGCAAGAAGATATGGAAACTTGCTCAATGATTTCTTCGACATATTTATGTTGTGAGAAAAAAATGCTACATAAGTGTCTTGTAATAGAGATACCTAGAAAGTAACTTAGATGACCTCAAATATTTCATAGCAAAATCATAACTTATTTTAGTCGCGATGGACTGGCGAAGGGTGTTCGATGATGCAGTAATAATGATATCATCAACCTAAAGAAGAATGTATGTTGTGTCATTTTCACTATAGTAGATGAATAAGGAATGATCATATATCGTATGAGAAAAACCAAATATAGCATCAATTTCAGTAAAGTGTTGGTACCAACCATGAGGTGCTTGTTTGAGATCATATAAAGATTTTATCAAGTACACATAATCAGAATAATGTGGATCACGAAAACCAGGAGGTTGGTACATGTACATAGTTCCATTCATATTTCCATGTGAATGGATTTTTTTACATCTAATTAAGAAGACGCCATGATTTTGAAAGAGTGATACTCATAACCATCTGTATAGTTGTTGGTTAACTACCAGACTGAAAGTTTAAATCATAATCTACAATAATTTGTTGATTAGATCCATCACTTTTTAATCAATCTTTATATCTCTTAAAGAAACCATCTAATTTCTTCTTATGCCTAAAAATTTGCAAATTTTGAACAATGTTAGCACAAGAGGAACTTGACACTAAATTTCACCTCTTATTTTCAATAATAACATCATATTCATCTTTCTTGACAATTTTTCAATTATAATCCTATAATACATTACCGAGATTGGTGGACAAAGGAGAAATAGGGGTTGGTCTATATGTGTAAAAATTAAAGAGTTGGGGAGGTTTAAAGGTGTCGTGTTGTGATCATGTGATCAATTGAGAAGAGAATGGAGGCTTGACTAAGGAAGAAAGGATGTGTTAGGTGTAGGAGTGAGGTTTGTAGGAGTGGCATTTGTAAGGAAAATTGACAGGCTAAGAGTTAGTTAGTGATGTTCAAAAATCATTATGCATAATATTGAAATAATATAGACGACAGAGACTTATAAAAAAGTAATTTTATTTATTTTCCAAATTGACAAGATTAATAAAAGAAATTGTTCTAAAATTTTTTACATAATAAAAATATTGGTGAAGAGAATTCAAAATACAAGTTCACAAATGCCTTAAATGCGTATGTCATAGTTTATTGGATAAAGCGGCAAAGGTGAAAAGTTTGAATTGTATGATCTTATGATAAGAGGATAAAAACATTATCACAACTAATAATAAGGATACAATAATCATTTCTAACAATAATATTATTGTTTATATTGGAATAAGAAAGATTACCTTTGTTTAGCTTTTTTTAGTGGGATAAAATTAAAAGTTGTATTATTTAACTAATAATCAAAATATTATGACCACTTCCAAACTTCTAACAGTAATATTGTTTATATTAAAAAAAATAAAATTTAACAAAAAATTATAATATCATAA